AAAAAAAAAAGAACAGGCAAGTTGGTAGATGCAGGAAGTAGATTAGTGGTTGCTGAGGGCTGGGTGGAGAGAGTGATATCCGAGGGACACACGTTTCCTTTCAGAAGGAGATAAAAATGCTTTGGAGGTGCTTTATCTCCAGCAGAGCCCGGCTGCACCACCCTGCCTGTACTAAATGCCAGAGAACTGTTTGAGATGCCCGCCTCGTGCCACGTGAACTTGACCTCCATCAGAAGGTCTGTAACCTGACCTGCTGCTTCAGTAACACCTTGGCTGCTAGATGACCAAGAAGAGGGGGCGGCTGTGAAAACCGGATTATCTAGAACCACAAACACACAAGGATCAAAGCTCCGATTCCGCCGCTATCTTCCCAAGCGGAGTGAAAAAATTCTAGAGCAGACACAGCTGGGTCAGAGGTCATTAGTCTTCCAGAAGGTTCTCTAGGGGCCATGGAGCTGTCAAACGACTGACTGAGTCTCTAGGGGCCGTCCAGCTGGGACGAGACCGAAGGCCAGTGAAGAAGGACCCCAGGAAGAGGGAGGCTGCTGCATTCCCTCGACTCGGAGCTGACCCGTAGCTCACCCTCCAGCGGGTTTTCAGAGGAGGACATCACAGAGGAGGAGACTGCCCGTCCTCCTGCAGGGCAGCTGGTGGGTTGGAACCGCTGACCAGTCAACAGCCGAGGCTTAACCATGGCACTGACCGTCACTCCTTAATGACCTTTCCACACGTGGGATAAAGGACAAAGACCCCAAGTTCAGGTTGGGATTTCTGTTTGAAAATGAAACGTCGGAAGCTCTCTCCCAGCATGCCACACTCCTGTGGCGTAAAGCAGCAGCGGTGGTGGTGCCGTGGTTAAGGCATTCGGCTGTGACCAAGCTGACCAGGAGCTCCACAGGCCAAAGATGCTGCAGCCTGCTGCCGTCAAGTCTGCGGTCCAGGAAACCCTTGGGGACAGTTCTGCTCCCCCATAAGCTCCCCACAGAGGGACTCGAAGGCAGTGGGTGCGGGAAGTGTCGGCTGGGAGTTGGGTAAACATGGTTGGGGCCCCCCGTGTGCTCCCAGGCTTCCGGTCAGTCATGCAGGCCCTCGCTGCTGCTTCTGAAGGCCTCTCTGATACAGTGGACCTGGTCTGCGTCTCCTGTCACTGAAGGATGGGGACGGGGACATTTCCATCTGGCGGTGAGCCATGCCGGTGTGTGGCCTCAGACACAGAGAGGACAGACTGCCCGGAAGTCCATGCCGAGCCCACCACGGCAGGCAGAGTTGGGGTGCTGCTTCCTGAATGTAGGAGCAGGGGGCTCGGCCCCTCACTTCAAGGAAGCACTTGGTCCCCTCCGGTGGACTCCTGGAGGCCCACCCCACTGGCGTCAGCAGCACTTTGCTACGCAGAGCTCTGGGGGCTGTTCTTCAGACGCACATGGCCGGGCCTTTCTCCCGGGGCACCTCCGCTCAGCAGCTGGGTCATCCGTGTCCACGTCATTGCTGCCTCCGCGTCCACGCCAACGCACGGTCACACTGCGGACGGAGCGGGACCTCCCACGGCATTATCCCTGCGGGGGCTGATAGCTGCAGAAGCTCCTTTGCATTGCCCGGGGACTCCACAGACCATACTGAGTGTGGGATGCAGGGCCGGCCACGCCAAGGCCAAGCCTTCATAGGGGACAGTGGTTTCTGCAGAGGCTGGATGGACACACCAAGGCCGGCCAATCACCAAGCCCCATCTCATCTGACCCTCTGCCTCCCCCGCTCTCTCTTCCCTGGGCTCACCTGAGGCATCACCTGAGAAAGCAGGGGTCATGAGCTCACGTGAGAAAAGGGGACATGTCCTCGCCAGGGCTGTGCGCCGAGGGCTGGCTCAGTCCCCCATCTGGTCACCTGTCCTTTAGCTCGTAAGCCACCTGGAGGTGTATGTCTGGTTTGCGCGGTGCCAAGGAGCCACGTCGTTCCCAGAGCTAAAGAGTCAATATTTACCTGGGTGCTTTGAGGGGAACGCCTTTCCCTCTGTTCCTGAGCGGATCCTACCGGCAAATGTTGGTTTCTCTGGTGGCCTGGTTTCTGACTGTTACCTTTTTCTCATTGTCTGAAGAGATTTATCTTGCGGATTTTCAGCAATACAACCAACTACTGTCGCAGGGTCCAGTGTGACCCACAGTGACAGAGAGGACAGAGCAGAAGAGCCCTGCAGGCTTCTCCGTGCTGTGCTCTTTGGGGGGTCAGGCTGCTACCTCTCTCTCCTACGGAGTGGCGGGTGGGCTCAAACCCCTGACCTTGTGGTTAGCTGTGAGCACGTCACCTCTGCATCACAGGGTTCCTTCTTCTTTGATTACCCAGTGAGTTTTCCAAGACGGTAATCTTTCCTTTCCCCCTAAATTTCATGTTTTGTTGTTGAGAATATGCGACACAGCAGCACATACACCAACTCCACAGATTCTTCCTTTAAACGATTTAGTGGCACTGGCTGGCAAACATTCTCACCCTCCTCGTCTGAGCTGCGTCTCTTCCAACAATATAAACACACTGGTTCCCATCTAATCTCTCGAGAACAGTGGTCACAACCTGACCTCATAAAGACAGTCCTTAAGACAGCATAAAACTCAACACGTACGTTCTTCAGGGGAGTATTTTTGGTTCAAGATTTAAAGATCCTCTCAGGGATATAGTTTAAGGATTTTAGCCACCCTCTATGGCTCCAAAATATTGGAGTCCCAAGGCTGGAATCTTTAAGAACAGACTGCCACATGTTCAGCTGGTAGTTTCAAACTACCAATCTTTCTGGTCGAGGCCAAGCGCTTAGTCACCACACCAACAGGGCTCCTTTCATAACACAGCTCTCACTGACGCTGAGTTGAACCGACCCCCAGCTGGTCCGTGAGCAGTTTCCAGAGGACACTGTCCCGCTTTCTTCCCCAGAGCAGCTGGTAGATTTGAGCCATCTAACTGGAGACTAAGGTGCGTCTGATACAGGCCAAGGTCTTCCCAATCACTTGTTATGCATCAGAGAGTTGGACAATGACCAAGGAGGATAGAAGGAGAACTGATGCCTTTGAGCTGTGGTGCTGGAGAAGACTATTGAGAATACCATGGACTGCTAGGAAAACAAACAGATTTGTCCTGGAAAGGGTTAAACCGGGTGGCTCCTTGGAGGCAAGGATTCTGGGGCTCCGTCTAACTTACTTTGGACATGTTGTGAGGAGAGACCGGTCCTTAGAGAGGGACATCATGCTTGGGAGGGTGGAGGGACAGCACAGGAGGGGAAGACCCTCTATGAGGTGGATTGATTCAGTGACGGGTAATCGGGATGGGAGTGTCAGAGACAGTGCGATTGGCACAGGACAGAGCGGAGTTTAGGGCTGTTGTACATAGGGTCACTATGAGTCGCAGGCGACTCGACGGCACATAACAACAACAACAACAACATCAATGCGGAGCCCAAACCCAACCCCAAGTTCACTGCTGTGAGAAGGGTCTCAGCCTGACGCCCCTCCACCAGGTTTCTGAGGCTGTAAATCCTTACAGACACAAATGGCCTTGTCTCTGTCCTGTGGGACAGTGGGTGGACTCCAACCACCAACCTTCTGGTTCGCAGCATGACATAGAGCCAGCGACGCTTTGGAGGCCCTAAGATGTGGAAAGGAGCTGCATTTGCACGTGAATTTACCAGGACTTAACAGCCTAACTATTTCATCTTTCAAGGCTAGAGTTTCCATCTGGAAAGTTCTCAGTGTGGCCACTCCTCAGGCCCACAGCTGTGTGTCCCCCTGACCTGGACGGACGCAGTGGCCCGGCCATCGGTGGTGGGAGAAGTGTGGCTGAGATAATTATTAATCAGTGTCCCAAGTCAATCAGCAGATAGGGGTGACCTCCAGGCTCTGGTGGAACCCCCGTGCGAGACCTACCTGAGCTGGGATCACATAGTCGGCCACATCCCAGATCCGGTATCCAAGGTCAGAGGTGTTGGTCACGGCCACGCCCTTGGCCTTCGTGGTCACCGAGCTGACCACCGAGTCTACTTCCTGGTAACCCTTCTCCCACACAAACACCCACCTACAAAATAAAAGACGCCTTGTAAGTGGCCACCAGGTTTTGATGACTTTGGACTGATGCCAGGGATTGTCTGAGCCAGAGGCTGAAAGTTCCGTGTACTAATCACGTGACTTTACAAAAGCTACTCAACTGCTGCAAAACTGGGATAAACTCAAAAGACCCAACCTGCAATCACAGTGTCTGCTCAAACCAACAGCTGCCCTCCAGGGCTGAGGAGCAAGGCCCCTGGGGGTCCCCAAGGCCGCGTTTGTTTCTTTTTTAACTTTTGATTGTGATCTGGATGAAAGGTTCCAGAGTTAATTGTTTTTTTCATTCAACCATTCATACGCATATTGATTGGCATCACTCATCCCAATTCCCACAATGCCCACCACGCTTCCATTTCCGCCCTGTGTTTCCCATTCCCATTCTTCTTTTTCTCTCCCTTCCTGTCTTCTGAACTGTGCAGATGCCAGGTCTTTCCCTCTGAGGAGCAGCTGGTCGATTTGAACCTCCAACCTTTAGGTTCACAGTTAAGCACCATAGCGCCACCAGAGCTCCTTATTCAGTGACGAATGGACGATCACTATCTCCATTTTACAGCAGGACACAAAGTCAGGTGACTTGTCCAAGGTCACATAGCTAGGATTTGAACTCAGGTCTTCTGCTCCTGAAACATGTCCTCCAGTTCACTCTGCTCCTAAGGTTCATGGAATTTTTATCGCCCATTCCTTACTTTTTCTCCAAGAATTCGGGTAACTATGCTTATCTCTTCTGACCTAAGAACCCAACTACCAGGTGTAGCTAAAAGCCACAAAAAAATCTAAAGGAGACACACACACACACACACACACACACACACACAATCTAAAGGCCTTAGCCCATAACACTGAGCATGTGGAGATGAGACTGGAGCCAGACGGACTGGGTTCACGGCTCAGCTCCATCCACTAGGCAGAACTCTGGGCAAGTTGTTTAGCCTCTCTTTGCCTCAGTTTTCCCCATCTGCAAAATGGGAACGATATAGAGCTGTGCTGTGAAGGATCTAACCCAAGTCAAAGACCTAGAAGACAGGAGCATGCGGAGAATATGAAGCTGGGCTGGGCCCACTGGCACCAGCTGCATACCCCCTCTGATACATCTTGAACTGGGGTGCCCACAAAGATACACTGGAGCCCTAAGCTTGAAACCTGTGGACATGACCTTGTTTGGAAAGAGGGTCTCTGAAGATGCGATCAGTTAACTGGAGGGCACACCTCCTAGGGTGGATCCTGAGCCTTTGTTGGCTGCTGGCCTGAAGAGAGCAGGGAGCCCTGGTCGCTCAGTGGTTATAAAGCAATTCACCTTTGAGCCAAAAGATTTGCAGTTCGAACCCTCAAGTGGTTCCACAGGAAGCGAGATGTGGCAGTCTGCTTCCATGAAGATGCTGGAACCTGCCTAGCAGGTTGCTGTGAACAGAAATGGCCTCGATGACAGTGGGTGTTAACCCAGGGCTTTATCTCTTCTGAACAGCCCCCAAATTCATGGGCTTTGCTCGACAAGGCCGCCTCTTCAGGGCTTCCACGTGAGCTCAGACAGGCAGGGCCCTCCTGCTCTCTCATGGTGACAGTGATTACGGCGCCTCAATCAGAGATGCATTGTTTCGCGCTGGCATCACCATGTGATTATCTATTTCCTCATCACATGACCGATAACTGAGCACCGGAGCAGCTGGTGGGGAAGGCTGTACTGTGGGAGATGCGAGCACAGCATCCCAAGATGAATCAGATCAAGAAGAGTTACTGTTCTAAGACAAAACCCTTAATTATTCAGATCCACAGAAAGGCAGGTAAAAGCAAGCCTTCTTTAAAAAGCCTCATGATGGAAAAAAAATTTAAAAAAAGCGCCTCATGATGAAGATAACAAACACTCAAACAGGAAAATGACGCAAGCCTCCTGTGTAATTTACTGTTTAACAGCCATGTTTATGGAGCTCTGGGAGCCAGTGGTAAGGCGCTGTATTGCTGATCCAAAGGTATGCAGTTCAAATCCACCAGCTACTCGGCAGGAGAAGGCTGGGCAGTCTCCTCTCATACGATTTACTGCCTTGAAAACCCACTGGAGGGTCAGCTGTCAGTTCTGATTCGGCGGTACACAACAACAATACTCATGTTTAGGATCTCTGGTGGCCTAATGGATGACCCCAAAGGCTGCACCTCCCCCGCGGGCTGAATTCTCTAACGGCCCCTCAGGGTGGAAGATGGGCCCTCTCTCCCCATGGTGTTCACAGCCCTGGAGTCAGCCACGCATTGGTTCTGACTTGACAGTAATGAATACAGTAATTGTCATGTTAAGTGCTTGGCTGCTAACTGAAGGATCAGTGGTTCAAAGCCATTAGTCCTCCTCAGGAGGAGGCTGTGGCAAACTGCTTCTGTGAAGACTGACAGCCTCAGAAACCCTGTGGTTCTTCTCTGTCCTGCAGGGTGGCCGTGAATCGGAGTGGATTTGGTGGCACTGGGTTGGGAACAGATACGTCAGGGGCCCAGTGGTTGGCTTCTGTGAAGACTGACAGCCTCAGAAACCCTGTGGTTCTTCTCTGTCCTGCAGGGTGGCCGTGAATCGGAGTGGATTTGGTGGCACTGGGTTGGGAACAGATACGTCAGGGGCCCAGTGGTTGGAGTTGAGCCCTTGGGAGCTGGCTCTTGTTGTTGTGTCGGTACCAACCCACAGCTGTCTCTGGTGGGTTTTCAGAGGCAGTGATTGCAAGGAAGGAGATGGCCTGTCCTCCCACAGGGCAGCGGTGGATTCAAACTCCATGCTTTCAGGATTGCAGGTCAGCTTCTTAGCACTGGGCTGAGCCTCAAAATGTAAAGGCATCACTGGGAGGAAGGGGTGTGGCTGGGCAGGGGAGAGCTGCTGCTGCTGGTTACCTCCCCACTGAGACTTAAGGAAGCCAAGCCTGGGAGTGGTTCTGATGGGGGTTCGGTACCTGGGGAGCACTGTCTGGGCCTCCAGGAGAGTCTCCTGCAGCTACACGACCCCACCCCAGAGCTAAGAACAGGGAACTCCCCAGGGCTGTTCCCTTGTGATCAGGGAAGTTTGGGAAACACTAGCTTAGTGGTTCTCAGACTTCACTGCACGCCATAGGAGCCAGTTATCGACAGAAACAATTCCATCCGAAGTGTAAGATGTGAGCCAGCAATCAAGAGCTTCTAATGAGCAGCATGGGGACCGCTGGGGTTGGTCTTTTAGAGAGAGCAGAAAGCCAGCAGGCCCATCTGCCTGTCCAGAGCTGTAGACACAGTGGCCATGTGACCCTTTCCAGCCGGTGCAAGGGTCAGGTCATTCCACCTCCACTTTCCATTTTCCGTAAATTGTAACGGGCATCATCCAATCAAAACCCACCACGTACTGAGGCTTCACAATGGCAGAGGAATCCTTGGATGAAATGATTAACAAGCTCAGCTGCTAAAGGCAAGGCTGGAAATTCAAATCCATCCGGAAGTGCCTCAGTTGAAAAGTCTGGTGGTGTGAACTCGCCACAGAAGCCCTACCTACGCTGATGTTCATGGAGTCACTGTCAGACGGAATGGCAACTGGCTAGGAAGGAAAGAGCCCTGTGCTGTGGTGGTTAAAACGTCTGGCTGCTAACCTCAAGGACCATAGTTCAAACTCTGTTTCCTGCTTCCATAAAGATTCATGGGCTTAGGGCCCCTTGGGACAGCCCTGCTCTGTCCTATGGGGTCATATAACACTGAACTGATTCGCAGAGGGTTTGGATTTGGTTTGTCAGGGAGGGTGGCCAGACACCTGAGCCTCAGTGGAGTGCAGGGGTTACCATGAGGCTAACACAGTCCTCACACCAAAACCCCAACCATCCCACAAGGCAAAGGAAGCGGATTTTCAAAACCACTTCCAGAGCAGAGCACCTTAGACACTTCTGTCCGCTCCACTGTCTCTGGTGACCAGATAGTGCTGAGGAAACATCGGAAAACCACAAACCCAACAGGAACCTGGGAAGATTCCAAGCCTGACATCCCGTCAGCAGATGGTCACAGGGGGTAGAACTGTCAAACTGAGACTTCGAGGCGATGCCCCCACTCTCAAGGGGGATCCTAAAGCAACTCAGGTCAAGGGCAGGCTCTGCCCTGAAAACACAGCAGAGAGCTGTCCTTTCCAGGACCCCTGTACCCAGGCCTGGGCGGGTGTCAACTGGGGGGACTTCTCCCTGGCACACCCCCACCCAGGCCCAGCAGGGTGTCACCAGGTGGGACCCCTCCCCAGACACACCTCTACCCAGGCCCAGTAGGGTGTCACTAGGCGGGACCCCCACTTTGGGATGAGACACACCTACCCCCAGGTCAGAGAGAGGTGTCAACAGGTGAGACACCCATCTCAGGGTCTGGGAACCCCTATACCCAGGCCTGGGGTGTCACCAGGTTGGACCTCTGCCCCAGCAGCAGGCATACCTGCACTCAAGGTCGTGGTATTCCCAGGTGGGTTGCCTCCCCAGAATCGGGAATACCTGTACCCAGGCCAAGGGTGTCCCACCAAGTGGGACCCCCACCCCAGGATCGAGTACACCGGTATGCAGGCCTGGGTGTCACCAGGTGGTACCCGTTCCTCGCACACCTACACCCAGTCCCATAGTGTTACCAGGTGGGAGCCCTTGCTGAATCAAGCACACCTGCACCCAGACCCAGGTGTCACCGGGCGCGACCCCTCCCCCGGATTGTGCACACCTGCACCCAGGCCCAGGTGTCACCAACCAGGTGGGGGCCCCTCCCGGGGTCAGGCACACCTGCACGCAGGCCTGGGTGTCACCCGCAGGACCTCTCCCCGCACCCCCGGCGGGCCCCCGCGACCCCTCCCGCCCCGCCCATCCCCCGCGCCCCCGGCCCGCTGACCCGATGACGTAAGCCAGGATGAGCAGCTGCACGGCGCGGTTCATCAGCCCCACTTTACGGCTGCGGATGAGCACGATGCGCGGCGTGTCGTACTCGAACAGGAAGGCGCCCAGCGCCGCGCAGCAGCCCGCCATGGCCCCGCGCTCCCCGGTCAGCGCGC